GTCGGTGGAATAGACAAGGTTCTTCAAAAGCCCATAAACTAGGTAAGTTTTCTCAGATTTATATTTTTAGTGTGTTAGGTGACATTTTTACCGTTTCAGCAGGCTGACTTTTGGCAGAAACGAATAGGGATCAAATCGAAATCTCGTCAAATACATAGTTGACACGTATTCGATAGTATTTACCTTTTTTTATTAATATATTCAATACTTTGTTTCATAAATAACATACATTCTATTTACATTTATTTTTATGTAATCTGAGTGACAAACAAGCTTACAGTAGGGGGAAGGGGCTTGTTACTAGTAATATAACCCCATGCTAGCAATGTGACATGTCAGGTTGAACATAGTGGTAAATTGCCATTTGCCAAGAAGGGCTAACTGACCCGACTTCATGTTCATCCTATGTTCCTGCACTGATGCCACGCTAGCGTAAACCGTTAGTGCAAGCGGGTGCATCATCCATTGTCATCCATATAAAAAACAGGTACACTCACAACTTATAGTTACCATTTTAACAGGTGGGTTTATAGGGTACCTGATGAAATTGGAACTGTGCGTATATCTTATTCCCTAAAAACAATATGCATCATAATAAGGGCCCTCACTGACACTGTAAACAACAACAAACTGCAGATTTTGCCAAGCTATCCAGGAAACGGCACTACACATTTTATGTGGTGGTAGCCCACACATGCATAAACGAAATAGCTTCTTTCGAAAATATGCACTCTATTCTGAGGCGTTACAAACCATCGTTCCTAAATACGAGTATATCCTTGTATTCTTGTACCTGACGGATCTTGTTAGCGAGTTTTGAATAAAGGGCGAGCACAATAGATCTGTGCAGGTCGCAGTGCTACAGGTCTTAGCACCTGACTATCAATAAAAAAGTAATATAGGTACATATAGGAAATATATATAACAGCGGTTATACAACTCATTTAGCACACCTTGCTTTAGATGGTCGCAATTTCAACTTCTCGTATAATACAAACATTAGCAATCAAGAGTATGATTATTTGTGTCGTCCTCAGTGGTATCAATGTACATTACACATAAATATGTATTGACAAAAAAAAATGTATTTCTATTTGTTCTTTAGTATTCATAACACAAGTTCTGTTTAGCTTGATAATAGGTGGTATAGAATTTTCTTGAGTTGTTATTGTTATTAATAAAATAATCACGTAGGTATTATATTCATTGTATAAATCTGTACCGTATTTCGTCGGTAGTTCACTGCCCGGCGGAAGATCTACAATTCACCTAAACTCTCACAATGAAATTGAGTTCGACTTTGTATCACAAGATATTCGGTTTGATTAAATGCTAGTATTTCGCTGAAGCCGTTATTGAAACTGAAACTGAGGCTGATGAGTTTGGTACTCGATCCCGCTTTAATTATAAGTCAGCAAGACAATAGGAGCTATTAAAGATGCAGTGGTGAAAGACTATACATTCATATATATATATATATATATACGGTTCCATTTTTAAATATTTGTTATTTCGCTAAATTTTTCATACTGATTTACATAATAGTACTGATTACCAAATTATGAAAAAAGAATTTCTGCAATAATATACAGTTCTCTGTGGTATTAAATTTGTACCAGTATGAAAATCAAGTAATAGTTTCAGCGTTAATCATCATGTTTAACAATGAAAACGGATATGTCCCGTTTCGTAAAACTTAAGAAATAAAGCACATTGGTTGTTGTGACGACGTGTCACGGATACTGCTGCTGACTTTGAATTTTGGTATTCGGCAAAGTACCTATTCGTCGCATCTCTACGATAGTCTCGTTATTCCATTTTAAGTCCAAAAAGTTTGAATTAAGCATAATAACTTTTTAAAAAGTATGTACCGTCCGACTGTGTTAGGTAAACATTATTTCATGCATAGATATATTTTTTCTTTTTTCACATAAAACATTTAGTATTCTAAAATTATTTTTCTAATTTTAAAAATATAAAAAAGCAATCTACTTTCTACTAGTACCGTATATCTTTAGGTAAACATTGTAAATGTTTTAGTGTTTTGGTGCTTTCACTGTCTGTAAGCATTGAAAAAACAAATTAAATTGTTTGTAATATCTGAATCAGAAATGTTTAATTCACAGTTTCTATGCTATACCTATATATCTACCTATCTTTAGAGTTTAACTGCCGCCTCGTTAAAAAGCGAAAACCTGATTATAATTTCACCGTCAATAACTCCGTCAGGGTATAAAATGTGCGATGCACATTTACAAAATGGACTGGCATAAAATGAGCTTTAGGTGTTTCTCAGAGGCTGTTGTTGAAGTAGTTTTACAAGAGGCGCGAGAGGCCTTTGTAGAGTGGTTACGTTTAAGGCCATATGCACAGTAAGTGCATAGAATTCGCTTATCAAACGACTTCAAAAAGATGGAAATTATCAATGCAACTGTATTTTGTCTTCGTTCTGTTATTAAAAATATATATTTTGTTAAAATGTTTATCTTTGAATATTTTAATTGATCACATATTTAATTAATATTATTTTTGAAAACCTCTACAATTTAAGTAAAAATTGTCAATGTCATAAGTTTAAGTCATAATAGATAGTGGATATAGCATATTTTGCTATAGGTATGTTGTTCATGCGCCAGCTATTTTCTGTCTTTTATCTTCTACATAAAGATTGTTACAGTTTGAGCGATAAGACCGCCTTTTACTCTATTATGTATGAGTATTGTATTCCATATTTCGTACAGTAAAGAGAGTATACCTATTTGAATGTAAATTGGTTAAATGACGTAAACCAAATATTAATTAGTACATTCGTTTTTTTCAGTAGGTACAGCATCATTCATCGAGTGGGGTTAAAATTTTTGAATTAATATTGATAATTTTTGTTCTCGATGAAGGTACAGCCTAAATATTCACGAAGGCGAGAGACCTCTTTGTCCGCATTGCACAGTCGTTGCAAAGGCCGACGCTCATTTGCTGAAAGCTCCCGCCTCAAGTGTCGTCAGAAATCCGGCATTCGCGTCCGCCATTTAAAAATGAGACGTTCTGAATTTCGAGCCATGAATAGATACTTCAACACATGCAAATAGAGGCGAGATATTAAATATTTATGCATAGTATAAACATTTTTAATGTTTAATAATGTTATAAATACGAAGTTGTGTTTGTCTGCATGATTTTTATCTTTTCAAGACTAAACGACTAATTGAATGTACATTCAATTTTATGTACAAATATTTATCTCAAAAAAGGCGACAATGTTGTAGGTTAAAGCTAAGTAAATAAATATATTTCATAAATCATTTTTATGAATACACTTTGCGATACAGCATCGCATTTCCTTAAAAGTTTCCTTATCTTGATTATTCTGATCTGATTATTAAATATACAAATCGTTAGCCTCATTTATTAATAGTAAATAATGTGAAACTGAAATGGGATTAAAAATTATTTCCTAAATTCCTATTCATTCCCATCTGTGCCAAGTAGCTTATTGGACAATACGGCTTGAGTTTGATAAAAAAAAAAAAAAAACTAAGATTTTTTTTTATAAAATAATTGTACCTACTCCTAAAACATTTCGATCGAGAAGTCTGTCATTCAATTCATTCAAATAGTCTTCTGAAAAACTTGAAGCAGTTGTATTATACATAAAAGCTTACAATTTAATTGTGATCCCGCTGTATTACATTAGTATTCTCTCTAAAACATTCTCGTTGGAATGGCAGCGCGTCGCTGAATGAAAATAAAAATATCTTGAGGATGTCTCTTAGGCATTTACATAAGGTCCCGTGGGCGAGCACCCGCTGCGCTGTCGCGTGCATCGTTCGCTGGAAGTGGCCTCTTTTCATGACGTTTCAGCAACAGTTATATGCGACCATAGCAAGTAGCTTCACTCTCAATAATACCAACAATTTATTTATTTTCAAGATAACTTCTTAGAAGTTCTATACTAGTATTCTGTATAATACCTACCACACAAAATCAATGATAATTTTGTTGTTTCTTTTCTTAAGATTTATTAATTTTCTTGTTAGTAATTATCTCTAAGTTCAATTCAGTTTCGTAACAAAATCTTATTCCATACGTGACTTGCTGTAATAAACTCAAACGGTGCGTTAATTTCGTAACTCGTAGGTACCTAATTAATTAAATTATTATAAAACGGAGGTTTATATTAATTTCCAACGTAAAGAAGCGTAAAATATTATCGATGATAATATGTTGTTTCCATGTGACAAAAGAAAGATGCTGTTACTTTATTAGATCGATACTCAGGTTTAGAATTAATTAAACATTGTAATGAAGGTATACTCTGGTAAAAAATTTGATATTGTATACCTACATATAAAACTGAATCATATTAATGATGTGAACTCGCGGCATGAATTTGTTAAACCCCTCAAGAGTAAGCACTACTTGTAACACACACCTGTAGGTACAGAAAACTAAACACTTTACAATCAGTAGAATTGTATTCGTACAAAGGTAGATTCGTATAAAAGCGAGCACTATTCGAGCTTGATTTTAAATAGATACTATTGTAAATTACTATAGTAAGTACCTATCTAACTTACCATTAAAAACTACTATTGTCATTGTATCCCTTTTGAAGTTTGTTGAAAATTGAATGCAAAATAAAATTTGATAATTTTAATTACATTTTAGTAAAAAATATATTATCTATTTTTCTCGTATATATATGTGACATTGCAGATTCAATTTATTTAATATTGATGATTAGTGAAAATCTTATTAATATCCATTACGCTAAGTATTACAAGTAAGTAGAGAAACCGACAGACAAGTATATACTTTATACTTTTTATACTCCATTATGGTAAATATTAATTTATACATCATTATAAAAAATATGCTAGTTCCAGATTAGAACTTGATACCACTAAAGCGCTTCATCCACCAATCCGCTAGAGCACTGCGGTTATTATAAAAATGGCGAGATGCGGCCTATCCCGCCAGTGCCCATCTCACAGGTGATAAATCTGGTGGAACCCGTGCCATGTCCGCCAGCTCATTAGTCTTAATAAAATCTCACAAAATGAGAGAAGCATTTATATCAATTTTGGCGGTACTGGCGTTCACTCAGGTCTGGGGAGCCGACGTCGGTAAAGACGGGTTCAATTTCTATAAAGGTATTTTTGTCGTCAATTTGCATATTAATGGTGAGAGAATTTTAATTAGAAAAATGTGTGGTATTCAGTACGTCCGTTGCGTAATTAATTTTCGTCTTTATTGTCTCCACTGTAGGTATAATAGACTGTTATGACAATTGAATTTCTATTCAATTGAGCGACTCGTGCGGTAGCCGACTGTTGGAAGCTAATAACAAATAGCACCCTCATAACGATGCCTTGTCATCCCTATTGATTCGTGTATATACTGGTATTTTGCATTGAAACTGATACAATGATGAAAATGTAAACTAAAACAATAGATGTCTATTGTTTTAGTTTACATTTTATTAGTTTTCTTATACAATACTGTTTGTTCGTAGTTATGGCAGATATAGAAGATTTAAATTGTTTATTTTTTTTATTTTATATAATCACAATGTCAGTTTTATAACTAGACAACAAGTTGTAAGCTCATACTATTTGTATTTGACAATGTGTAAAAAGAACTAAACGTATAATATTTTAAATTGTTTCTATCAATGCCGGATTATTGCATTAAAAAACTAATAACAAAATGTAGAAGAGTTATCCTATATGATCATAAGCAAGAACCTACATATAATTAATATAATCATGCTGTGATTATATTAATTAAAACAAAAACAATGTATTGTTATTGTTGCTTATCATATTCACAAATATACAGTTTTTTTATAGATAATAATGAATTGTTTTTATAAAGGCGACCTTTATCAGATCATCCATTAAGTTCTTACGTTGAAAATCGACTGACTTCGTCCTTCTTTCGTTCAATATAAAATATCCAGAATGTTCTAAAAGACGTATTTCATAAGCATTCGACGCGGCAACACAATGAAAATTTTTGAATAAAAATACAATAAAAAATTTTAATGTCTAACATTTTCTGGATAATGAGGCGAGTGAAGAGTATAATCATATAATATTCCCTTATAAAATTGTGGAAACACTTCGCTGTTAATTAATATAAGAGTTAATTAAGCGATCCTTAGATATAACGGCAGGTTTGTTCATAAAACATAATTTAAATTGGTTCTTTTCGTAATAAAACTTATTTTATTATCTAATATCTACACTTAATCCTCTGCGGTTTCGTATTAATAGGTAAGTATTTTGTGTCTTATTTAGTTAAAAAAGATACCTAAGAATGGTTTTATCTAGAAAGGGTTAACTATTTATCATGTATGTAATATAGGGTTCATGATTTCTCGAGCTTTTCAATTTCTCGGGTCTCGAGAATTCTCGAGGTTAATTTCTCGGGTCTTCTCGGGTTGTCGAGAAATTTACATTTACGTACGTTTTCTCATATTATTTGGTTCTAATAACGTCAAAAAACTCAGTGGTTTCATTTGAGACGAAAACCACTGCATTTTTTGTTAAATATTAATTATAAAATTTAACAATAAAATTAATTATAAAACTTTTATTGAGTAGGTATACCTATTTAAAAACATTATACATATTATGAATAAGCCATTTTTTTTAAATACTGAAATATATTAGGTTCTTAAATATGAAATTAGCGTTTTGTCGTACTGGCCACTTTGATCTTAAATAACTCCTCTTTGGTTAGAAATTTCAATTTCAAATTTATACGGCTATTCACTCATGCATTTGTTTTTCGAAAACCGTAATACATGTGCTTGGTTTTTTCATTGGGTCACTCAGCTTACAAAATGGAAAACTTAAAATATCGCGTCATTTACAAGTACAAGTACGAGTTCCGCCATGGCACTAATGCTGCAGAAACGGCTCGAAGGATTAATGATGTATATGGTGGTGGTGTCGCAAAAGAAAACACAATGCATTGTTGGTTGCAACGTTTTCGTTCTGGAAATTTCGACCTGCAAAACAATCCCCGTGGGCGGCTGGAGTCCAAGGTTGGTAATTATGATAGCAGATCCATCACAAACCACGTCAGAGTTAGTTTCAGGTTGCGGTGTTAGTGACAAAACTGTATTAATCCACTTGTAGCAAATTGGGAGGGTGAAAAAGCTTAAAAGGTGGGTCCCTCATGGATTGAGTAGACAATTCGCGTTTCGATCGACAAACTCGCGTAGACTGCTGCGTTACATTAGTCAACCGGCATAATAATAAAGGGATTTTAAACAGAATCATTATCTGAAACGCTCATCGCAATGGCTGAACCCTGGCAAACCAACCAAATCCTGCCCCAAGCGAAAATTGACCCAAAAAAAGTTACTTGCGAGCGTTTAGTGGACTAGTTCCGGTGTTGTTCACTTCAGCTTTCTTAAATCTGGCCAGATGATTACGGCAGATGTGTGTTGTCAGCAATTGAGAAACCATAATGGAAAAGCTAGCTGCTAAACAACCGAGGCTGGTCAATCGCCGTAGGCTACTGCTGCTTCAGGACAACGCTAGACCACACACTGCACAACTGACATTTACCAAATTAGAAGAGATTCAATTGTAATGTCTAAGACTTTACAATTGCTCCCCGGATCTTGCTCCAACAGATTACCATTTTTTTCGAAATTTGGATAACTGATTGGGAAAAAATTCAAATCCGATGAGGCAGTCCAAAGTACAAAGATTTTATTGATATGTCCAAATTTTCCCGTTCAAATGTTTTTTTCAGTAAAGGGATCAATGAAGTACCTATGAGATGACAAAAGTGCATAAATAGCAATGGTACATAGTTTGCTTAAATAAACATGTTATATTTTGAAAAAAAAATACTTCAGGTTCCCTTATAAAACACCACTTTCATATGTTAGGACCTAATATTATTCAGACTTATATTTATAATGACAGCACCATTTTTGGCTGGTTATTTAGAAAAAATCTACCTTAAACTTGTAAACAAAAATAGTTTCTGTAAAACAAAAAAAAATACATGAAAGAAAACCTTAATATCTCGTATTATTGTGCCGCCACGCAATACAACAAACGACAATTTAATTTCTATATAGGTACTTGATTTCTCGAGTTCTCGACTTTTCTCGAGCTTGATTTCCCGGGAACAGAACCCAAGGATTTCCCGGGAATTCTCGACCCGAGAATTCCCGGGAATGAACCCTAATGTAATACCACAGATAACATAATATTACATAGTAATACTAACTATGGATATATTATACAGTATCATCTAGACTTAAATAAAAGAAATATTATTTTTTAAGTGAAGTTTACTATAACACATTTGTGAAAGCCACAACCAAATCGGTTAAGTAGATTTCTCAGAATAGCGTCCATAAACATACAGACAAAAAATAGAAAAAATATTGTTTTGGGTCCTTTTATGTTAATAGAGTCCCCAATAACAGTGTTTCTCACTTTATACCTACCTTCTAAGCATAGACAATGATTAATTACATTTTTGTTATACGTACCTATGTCCCTATTACCGTATTTTGATTGTTTTATATTGTTTTATATTACGCCGAACGCAATTAAATACCTACCTATAAGAAAGAAGCAGATGATGACGATGATATAGAAATTTTATTAATTAATCTTTTAATAATTATTTGACATAGGTACGTCCTACAGTTCTTTTTTAAAGGATTCAGATTCTATGTATGCATGGTATCGACTTAATAACCGTACCGACGGCAGTGTGCTTCTGTTTGCAGACTACTTACGTGCTCGTCCAGATGAAGCCATGCTGGATGCCGGTCCAGGAGAGCGTTCATTGTGTAAGTGTATTTATTACTACAAATAATAGAATAGTGTTAATAGAAGTTACTATGAATAAAAAATTAAAAAAAAGGACATATTTAGAGTCAGTCGTAAAGATTGTACATTCCTGAACAAAATTTTATTCTACTCAATCCCGCCGCCGCGCCGTTTAGAAAGTGACAGCAACATTTAGTAGAATTATATGTATATATTAAGTTATTATGGTGCTTTATTATACTATATTTTTTTTAACAAAATATATAATTAGTGATATATTACTGAATATTTTTTTATAAAACTTACATTTTTATCTATACATTTGTTATTTCAGATTTCTACCGAACGCCGTTACAGTTGTATCCAGGTTTACTGCCGATCCTAGAACAAGAATATAGGAAAAGAACTGCAAATGCTTTTAAAAGTAGGTCGTATATAATAATAACCGTTGACGATTAACACAGCACCATCTAGTCCCATGCGAAGTGACTGCACTTGTTATTATGGGTATCAAACAACTAGTAGAATATTGTCATTTGTGTTATAGCTATCATCATTGTAAATAAATAAATACAAAACAAATATAAGTATTAATTAATAACAAAACGCATTACATAAAATAAATGTTAAAAGGTTGTAACACTGACGTATTCCAGATCACATGTTGAGCAAGGAGTTACGAGCGGAAGAAGAACCTGTCAAGAGGAGCTCTAAAACAGCTTTGTCCCTCATGTTACAGGGGAAACACTATCCACATTATGAGTAAGTTAACTTGTAAATAAAAATAATGCAGTATATTGACACTAATGTTATACAGAGTTAAAGTTTATTACGTATGGCGTTCCGGTTTGAAGGTATAGTATGGGTGATATTAATTTGTTCATAATAAGAACATAGGAACATTTTTTTACAAAGTAAGTAAGTGGATCCCGAGGCTCATATATTTTTGCTGCTAACGCACATTTCGGTTAATAGAAAATATATTTTTATTTTACTACATGTGACCCTTATTTCAGAAAATCTTTTTAAAACTAGGGTATGTTGTTTAATTTCATAATTTTCCACTAAAATATGGGTCATGATGACCAGGTGTCATCGATCACGTAATTATTTTAACGTCATTGGCGCCGAGTTAACTGTTTCGGTTTAAAAGATGAGATATTGCAATATAAAATATAATGAAACAAAAAGTAATAGGGTAAGAGCTATGGTACATAAGTCAATAGGAATGGGAAAGAATTAGGAGTTCTCTAGGAGTCACAGGGCATTTTTTATGTCTATAGTTCCGTTAATGTCTATACATGAGTGCTGTCAGCTTCATTCAAATAGTGGTTAGTTTGTTTACCATTGCAATAAAAGATCTAGAAATAAAAGATATTTTGGACTAAACTCTATAGATTTAGTAATCGGGCTTAAAATTCTGTTACTAAATGAACAATATTAATTAGTTTATTACATCTCTTGCATTTTGCACGAAAACTATGCACTACGATTACAGTCAGGAAACTCAAATTAAGTATTCCTTTTTGAGCATCAAACTTTGTGCAACTATGTAGGTAGTTCAAGCAGTTAAGATATTCCTTTCTGGACCTGGACTAGTGAAATAGCTGAGTGCTCAGTATGAAATGACTCTTTGAGTATTTAACAAGTTTTATCAATTAACTTTAATTATACAAGAATGTTAGTTATTGAGTATTTAAGGTAGGTACATAAATTACTAAAGTGTTTTCTGATGGAGTAGAACCTGCTATGTTTCAAGTTCTTAATAAGATTTTCTTTTTATTTTAAAATGAACAGATATTTATTTATACTAGTAGCTGTAAACGTATAGTATCTAGATGCTCAAGCCATGAATACTTAAAGTACAGGTGTTTTAATACTTCGATGAAATCACAAGGAAGGTCTTACAAAGTATCTGATAGCCGATTTACGTATTCAGGCCGCAAATATAAATATATTGATGGAAATATTTTACCTTCCAAGAATTCAATATGATAGGATACATATGGGTTATTCACCGAAATCGAATACTTAGATAATTATTAATACTATGTGTTAGATTTCCTGGAAAATATTTATATCTTATGATCTATTTGATATTTTTATGTTCATAAGTTTCCTATGCCCTACCACTTCACGTAACAGAATAAGTAAACTCGTCTCCCACGTTTTACTGTAAAAAGGGTATGACTAGTTTACTCGTTTCCTGAAAAGAATGTTTTAATATTTCAACCAGCAGCAACTATGTTTGAGAAAAATACAATATTAGTAGGTACTAGTGCTTGTTTATACTAACACCAGCCAGTCGGTCTGAATGTAATTATTAATTCTAGGAAACACCATTTTGTTAATATAAAATACAGTCTATGTTACTTACTACTAATATACCTTTATTCGTAAGCAAAATGAATTAAATTTACATTATATATATATGTAATATATATGTATATTTATCGGAGATTGTATTTTTAAAATAACTTACTGTTTTTGATGATACTTTTAAAAAAAAAGAGTTTTGATTCCATAATATGAACCTTCCAGAAAAGAGTTATGTCTTCTTAAAAGACCGGCAACACATATGCAATTTCCCTGGTGTTGAGGATGCTCATGAGCGGCGTTAATTACTTACCATCAAGTGAGCAAGCTTATTTGTCTATAAAAAGTGTGATGTCCTCTATTAGTAAACGAAAAAAAATGTATATGTAATCAATGTACTTCATAACAAAGTATGAATCTTGTCTTTTATAATATTTTTATAGATAAAAAAAACACAAGTTTAAACTATGTACCAATATGTATATTACTAGAAAATAGGTTCCTATGATAATGATCATATTGATTTATAATAGACCTATAATTAGTTAATAAAAGGTTATTAAAAAAATTACAGTTTCTCCTCAATATTACAGGAACATGGGACATTATTGTCCCTACGGCAAATAAAATAATGCTGCTCCATGGTAATAGGTAGGTAGGTTTTCTTTTCTAGAATCCTAAAATAGAATTTAAATTAGATCTTATATTATATTACATTTATTCCTGGAAAATGTTTATAACGGATGTAGTTGTATAATGATGACTTTATTTGTTTCAGCACTGACGTCGCACAGAGTAATGATATAAAAATACCCATAGAATAGATTTATTCGTATTTGTCAACAGTTTATATGTAGTTTTTAGATAATTTTATAAATATATATCTATCTTTTGTGTATAACATTAACCATTATTCTAAAGTGGACTAATGATGCGTATATTCTTATCATTAGAAAATAATAATTTATGTCATAATAAATAATAGATAGTTAGTAATAGATAGTTTTCTTGTTACTTTTATTAATTATGTGGCATAACATGGCTTATCAGTTGTTACATAATTTTCAACTGTATTCAAAGTATAGATGGATCTGTTTTGATATTTCATTTGTTATCGAGAGGGTATTTTCTACCATATTGTCGTCATACTGATTTTGTTATTTTTTATTTAATAATTTCGACAGTCGACAATCTCTGACTACCGTTCCTGAAATTAAAGTAATTGATGTTATTATTATTATTAAAAACTGAATTTTAAAACATATTGCTCCTTAATAACAATTTTATAATAATACTTTTTTTTTATATCACAAAATATCTTGTCATTAGTAAATAGGTTCAGTGTTACTGTATAATATATAAGAATTATGCCCTTCAGGTAATATTAATGTATGTAGTCTATGATATAAGGAACCGATGAATGTAGTTAGTATTAAATGGGAAAGAAATATAAGCTATACATAAACTAGTTGTATTATTACCAAATCAATCCTTATCAATTTTGATATCTTCATCATCATTTCATTGACTGTCATTGGAGCATGATAACATATAGACATGTATGAATAATAAAATATTTATAACTTACTACATTTACTGGTTCATCAAGAAATAGTAAAATAGGACTGCTTCTGGTTCTAAAGGAAATTAGTTCACGAAAAACATTCTACAGGCAGTATAGGCGTCTATACAGTATTTCATTATCAAGTACTTTCAACAGCAAATATCTTGCCTAAAAAGCTATGTTTCAGTTGTAACGTATGGAAGTGCAATAATAGAGTGAGGACTCGTCTTACATCTTAGTACCTACTCTGGAATGGTGATGCATTAAGGGTATCAATTGATATCCATGTATGAGTATATAAGAGAGGGTTACCAGTACTTCAACTAGTATCCTACATATGCCCATTGCATTTATAAAAAGTATGACAACCTCGGTAGTCTCCTGGTTTAGCATACTGCTTTACTATCCGATGGTCGCGGCTTCGATTCCTCGCATGGTACAAACATTTGTATTCATGAGTATGACTGTTTGTATCGTTCTGGGTGTTTTCTATATATAATATGTAGATGTATGAATGTATTTATTTACAAAAAAAAGTATCCATCTGTTTATATCAGTTGTCTAGTACCCATAACACAAGCTGCTACATGGCGTTGTGTGAATTGTTCTGAAAAATCTGCTAATTGCCTACTAAAAGTGAATGGATGACACATTAATGAAAATAAATATTTTTCTTTGTGAAATATTAATCAAAGTTACAACTTTAAAAATGCGTAAGTATAAACTTACTATACTATAGATTACAATGTTTGTTAGCGTATATCGTATTATCCAAAGCTATTCGTGGTATCAGCAACTCAGGTAAACAATCTTGCAAACGCAGAGATCGTGGTATTGTGTACTCAGGTCTCAACCTACTCATGCAGTAATCGATTAGTAATGTAAGCGAATTTGTCTTATGTGATGCTAACCATGTGTTTACGTTTAAAACTAGCTCCCCATTTACGATAAATACCTTGAACAAGACCAGTTAATAATCTGTAACATTAATAGGGAATGTATGACAAAAATAAATAAAAACGGGCAGTTAATTTGACACAGATGTAGTGAAAATTTTGAGTTTCTAATACATATCAATATTTATTTAGTTTGTATGACTAACTTGTCCTTTATATGTTCTTCAATAGTTTAAATTAATTAATGTATATTAACTGCCCCCACCCATATAATCTTAAGATTATTTTTGATTGTCATGGCTTATTTTTATATGAACTGTTTAATATTTTTTCTCAAATATTATTCTTGGAAATTTCTGTTAAGGACTGTTTAGCTCTTACTTAAAGAATTGCAAAGGCGTGTAATTAGTCTTAGAGTCAGAATTAACTTTTGAGATCCGAAGCTATCCTATTCTTACTTTATTAGTCTTATACTGTTGTTTATCATTCGACTTTACTCGTATAATTATGAAATAATTTAAATATTACTTGTACTTTTACCGAAGTACACTTTGTATGAAGTCTTGTGCGCAGTTGTCTCACCTATTTCAGCCACCAAGTAGCTTGCTTTGTAAGTTCAACTTTGATTTGATGAGTGTAAAATAGAGAACAATGTAACAAACAGATAATTTTGTATCTTTTATATTGTACAATTTATTATTTATTTCGTAATGTTTTATACAGATTACACTATGATTAATGATATTATTAGATGAAATGTATAAATTAACTAACACTAAGAATTTTGATATGCTTACCAAAACCGTATTAAATGTTTACTAGCTGTTTTGAAAATAAAATAACTTCGAAGATAAAATAAATACATAGAGACTTTTGGGTAAATATAAATTACCTTTCAAGTATATATACGTATACCTAAATATGCATTTCTTTGATGTACTTTACATCCAACCATTCTATATTAATATTATGAATAAGAAAATATGCCTGTCAGTCTGTTGGTTACTTTTCACAGCTAGACGAGGCATCATTAGGCAATGAATAGAGTTTTAGATATATTTAGTTTGAAAGCCTAGTGTTGACTATTTGGGAAGTAGACTACGTCTGGAGACTGTAGAGGAATATGGGATCCAATAAAGATTGGAGTTCAATCACTAGAGGGAAAGGTTGTAATGTTTCCGGTAGCGGTGGTCGGCCCAAAAATATACCATACTGAATATTTTTAGGCTCACGCATAGAAACAGTAGCAGAATAAAACAAAAAATCTATTAAGTAAAAAAACGGGCTTCCGCATAATAACCTAATTCCACAAAATATATACTTCTAAGGTGACTATAGTAGCCTATTAACATTTTATAAAATAGTGTTTTTCGAATGTGTGTATATTTTGTGGTATATAGTCATCCTCAGTACTTATTTTGTTTGTTTAAAGTTTTCCATAAATGTTAGGTTAGATAATAATTTTTATACTATTATACGGTTTTAATTTTTCTATGGAAATTCTCACAGAAACTTCTTTAGTGGGTGAAAGTTGCGGGAAACTGGATAGATAAAGGAAACAACAATAGCAGCCTTCATAACGAAACCTACAACAAAGGATTATAGCGTAAACAAAAAAGTATATCCATTTGCTTTGTTTGTTACGTTGTAGCGACTAATCGGTTCAAATAGGATAATATTTAGAGTGCTGTCCGGATCTGCCTAATTTATTTGCCGGAAAATACGCCTGATCCCATTTTAAGATCACAATTTTTGTTTACTTTTCTATTTAATATGCATATAATATCGGGGTATCGGGGTGTGGTATTAAGAGGGGGAATATGACAATTATTAATAATGATAATCCATAGACGGAGAGGGATCCATGTGGAGATCTCGATCTGTACAGATGGACTGGAAACACCCCTAGTAAATTCCTAGTAAATTAGGCAGGATGGACTATCTGACTGACTTCATGCTTATGGCATCATCATCCACTGGTACCCCGCCAGCGTATACCTGATATTCGGTTATACCACAGATAAGATAATGTTACATAATATCGTATTATCTAAAATTAGGGGAATTATAAAGTTTTATAAAAACTGCAACTACAGAAGATTTGCAGACAAAAAATAAGGCTTACCTTCCAATTTTATTGAATGTTTAGTAATATTTTTCTTTTAGTATTAATAATATATATGATTGATAGCATAAATGAATTAAAAATAAGTTTCATAAGTTATGTAGCTTCTTACAGAAAAATCGTAATCGTATACGATGAACACGCGCATTGTCTTTTAGAATTTATTTCAGAAAATGTAACGTTAGATAATGTAATCGGTGCGTAAATGCTTTTGGGATGAGCTATTACAGGCACAAAATGAAATGTGTGAAGTGTAATGTTGATAGTCGATTTATGGTTGTGTAAGGTTTTTGAGACTTTATAAGACGAGAATAAAATCTGTCTAATCATTGTAACCAATTAATATTAAAAATTTATTTACACTTTTATGTATAAGATATAAAAATTAATAAAATCCGACAATAAATTTTAATATTAATTGTTTACAATAATTAGACAGATCAATAAACTTTGATTTACTTGGAACATGTTTGTTGAAAATAATTATTGTACTATAATTAGTTTATAATTACTACATAGATTATAATTACTATTGTTAATAATTCAAGCTTTTGTTAAAATAATTATTTAATTATATATAAATTTTATTTATTTATATAACTGTCTGTTGCCAAAAGAAATTAACAGAAACTAACATCATTATATACGATTACAATAATAATAAATAATGTCGTCGCAAATTTATTCAAGATGTCAATTATCATAGACATGAAGTACAATCGAAGAGTGGAAATTAAACTTTCTCCTAATTGAAGTCAGTTGAAACTCACACAATTTATGATTTGGGCTCCACTTCTAATTTATTGTATTTAAATTTATATATTTTAGAGAAATTTAATAAAGGACGTGAGTGGCCTCCCAACTCGGGCAGCATGACGATATTCCCTAATTTTGCCGGGTGTTCTCAAATTTATCGTGTCTTATTAATTAGCGTGGTTAAATAATTATAACGAGAGGAAACTTCGTTACCGCATCTATACAGCTTTCTTCCCTGAAATGAAATGATTATTTCAACAAGTTATCCTAATAAATGCGTGATACTGCTACCAATTTCCTCAGAGTTAAGTAAATAGTAATAAGTAAATAGTTTGGCCCTTCATCGTGTATCTATATTTAGAGCAAAATAACAGAAAGTCCAATTCACAGACTCGCCTCACGTCCTTGGTATTAATTTTGGGTTTATTGAATAATACGTGACCCACATGGACGATCTGGGCACATATTTGATAGAGCATTCAGGAAATTGGGTCTAGTCCTTAAGAAAATTGGATTCGTCTGTTACTC